TTAATTCAACAACCAACGTTACCTTATTATATCAATTCTAATTCAATTTATTCGATACAATCGATTTCCATTGTTAACATTTTTCTAAATTTATAAGAACACTTTGTATTATCGTTAAAGTTTTAAAATTAAAATTTACTACAACAAAGTGAATGCTAAATATAAGCTATAAGTTTCGAAGATTGCCCTGTGAGCGATTAGACGTGCTCGTCCTGTACATCTGTCAAGAAAGAAAAAGAACATTAATATTAACACTAAAATTTTACTTAATAATATAAAACATAAGTTACTTGTCTTAAACATATTCAGTTCTAAAATTAAAAGCTTTATCTAAAGGAATCACCAACAGAATTTTGAAAGTAAGCAACATAATATTTTAACAGAAATTTTATCAAAAACGTGTAAATAATTAATAAAATTAATTAGAAACAAATTGCAAAATAAATATGAACAAATAAAGCCGTGTTTGACATAAATAAAACCACAAAGGCTTATATTTTTTTAAACGCGTGAAAGCGTTTTTAGTTATTAATTCAGCGCTTTAACGAATACAAACAATAAATTTGCGTCTGCGGAAATAGAAGCGTTTTAAAGGTACCTAGAAAAAAGCGCAAGAAAAATAACATTCATGCAAGGAAATCTCGTTACCCAGCATATTTGATATAGTTCATTACAAAATATTTTAGCTCATTTAGATATATTTTTATAATGCTTACATAAATTCACTTATAATTAATAATACACAAAAATACTGTTAATTAAACCAGTTTTAAATAATCAACAAAATTTATCTAATCTAACTCTCACTAAAGTTAACTTCAAAATCCTTATTTTTATTTTAGTAATAAATTACGTCATCATTCAACGCTAAAATGAATTTGTATTAAGTTTACGTCACAAACATCAACTGGTGCTAAATTCATTTTATATACAGGGATTTGTGACGCTACGTAGCTGGAAGTGACCAAGTGCAGTATGAGGGTTTCATGCAAAACATTGGAGACAGCACAATGTGAACGACGAAACTACAGGCAATTGAATTAAACCTCCAAATTTATACTTACGTAAATATGTTAACATACCTATAATTTTGTGATAGAATAACACTATCGAAGCTTAATGATCTTTTTCTCCTTAGTAGAAAAAAAATTTGAAAAGGAAAATATAAGCCAATTAACAACTAAAATAAGTTTTAGAATATTTATTAATAACATTACAATTATCTCTCTTAACTTTATAACGGCGTTTAACATTGCATAATCTGAATATGTGTTTAACGAGATTTGACTGCATGAATTAAGAAAATAAACAAAATTATTGAACTGCATTAAATATTGTGAATTGTATGTAAATAAGTTTCATAATTTTCTACACAAACTAGTACAGATGAAGTACATAAAATGTTATCTAGCAATAATTTAATCTAAATCTATCTAATCATTCATAAGTTGTGCCACAAAAATATAAACGTGATAAAATTGAAGACATTTGTGTTAATTATATTTCATAGTATTAAAAAGCATTACGACCAATCGTTGTAGAGTATATCGTAATTTGATTCGTAAAATTACCTAAAGAGTTTTATTACAGACAATTACCAAAATTCCAAGAATTTAGCTAGAAAATTTTTAATATATCTGAATTTTACAATCAAGTAGAACCATTTTCTAATAAAGTACAACATATTGCTAGAAGTATCGCTAAGTCAGTCTAATGGGAATTATAGGTAAAACTATTTACAGATGGTATTACAACACGTGCAATCATTACAATTTTTGTGAGGTAGAAAGGAGACAGACATTTTGGGCGCAGTACATTATTAAGGCGCTGACAATATTATTACCCTAATATGTGGCTTGTCAGAAACATTTTTTGCCAAATGTGTGCAGTTTCTAGAAGTAGATAAAATAGGTTAATATTGTAATAATACTGCATTTCCAAAACACGTATTTGAAAAAAATTCTAAGTAACCTAATCTCTTTTAAATGACCTTACAACAAAAATTTCTTCATTACCCATTAGTGTACATTGGTTAAATTAACAAAAATAACGAATCATACTGAAATTAAGAAGTTATTTATTTTTATTTTCGATTTCAAATTACTTTTAAGTAATTATTTGTTTTATGTTTTGTTTTTGTTTAAGCTACAAGTGTAATGCTATCGCGCTTTTCTTTCCTTTATAACTAGTCAGATAGTGATCGCATAAACGCCCTGCGTACTGCCTGTGCCTAAAGGACATATGTCGGTTTGCTTCGCCATCCGTTCATTAATTTTTTGTTGTTTAAAGTTGTGTTTATATTTCTTTTGCGACTACAATTTATTCAATAATTTATTACAGTACCATCAAAGTCCACTGTTTGATAAATTTGCTCATAAGGCGGGTTGACATCCAAAGATACTAATTTTCTAGTTGTTATTGAGAATTTGCTGCTTTCCTTATTTGATACCTACGGCACGATATGAGATAGTGGATATTCTTAAACCGCCACGACACTGTTAACTATGTATATTTTATAAGCTAATAAACAGTTAAACCAAGTTTTATAAACCTTGTTAAACTTCTATAAGCCAAGTTATAAAAAGATAGGCACGTAAAGTTTTGTATATATTGGAGATAGAGATGGCGTGACTAAAAAATCGAAACGTCGAAACTTATTAACTGTCAGCGCCTTGATACAAAAGTAGGAATTATAGAATTTTTAAATTTATAATTTTAGTTATTCTGTTACATACTATTTTTAGATATTACACAAAGGGTTGTGCTTATGAAAGATTTTATATTAATAAATGAGAATACAACGGTAATCTAAATTTATGGGTAATGACATTTTTAATTTTAGCGCTTTAAAATCTTTTAAAGGTTTTTTAACCTATTTTATAGTCTAGATTTACCCTTAAATCTAACTCTTTTATAGTTTTGATTAAATTGAAGGGGAACTGTTGTTTAATGTCTTGGTAAAACAAACATTCTTATTTTAGATTAAAGTTTTATATTCTATTTCCACTACTTTGTTGAGGGCTTTATTTAAAATCTTTCTCAAGGGGTGTTCTTTTATTTCTATTTTATTTTCCATGTTTCCTCTGGGTTTTGATATTTCAAATTAGAGATTCCATATTAATTTTTAACTTCCATAAAATTAAATTATGCTTGTCTCAATCAGACCTTTGGTACTTAATTATAAAAACCTAAAATGACATTTATATAATATAATACGAAATTAGCAATATTAATTATTATAATCATGCTAATTTCGTATTATCTGAAAATAAACTATTTAAATATAAGGATTATGCGCTGCCGGTCTCTTATCAATCTAGCAATCTTTCAATCTCTTATCAATGTAACTTCTGAATATATCCTATTTTTTGCACAGAAAAGTAGTAAGTATACCCCCATATTAAATATCAGCAGGATTTTATAATTTTGCATTCCCCTTTTTTTAACAAAACGTGTTTGTAAATATTGGAACGCTAAGTATAAAGTGAGTTCAAATAACAGTTAATTAAATGAAGAGTTAACGATCCACTGACAATGAATTTAAATCAATATGCGACGTAGCATTCTAGATCGTAGAAAATAAAATACTTCAAGTTGTTGTAACTGATGGAAAATGCAATATAATCTTATACCAAATAACATAAATTGCTTTATTTTGCAACCAAGTGTAGACTTACACAATATCTGCAATCACATTTTTTTCTCTTATAAAACTGCAACCGTATAAACTAAGTAGTACAAAAGGTAGTTTTAATACTCATCATTAAAATGAGTAATGCGTGAGTATTATAAGTCGTAGAATTAGATGGTTTGCACAATGTTAATTATTTTAGTCACACCATGAAATAGACAATAAAACAGGTAATGTCGGATAAGCAACGAATGAAACATTAAAAGAAAGCGACGAAACATATGAAAAAAATTTGGAAATAGGAGCTAAGATTTAATGCACTGGATCAAGCTATAACTCTTAGTAAAATAAAACAAGTTTAAAAACATAGTCAATATTAGTAACAATATATAATAAACACGTAATGATAGAGAACTTTAACTTAAATTATTAATATTATTGTTGGTTAAAATTTGGATAAAATAAAGTTCGAAGTTAACAAACTGGTGTCAGACCAGCAATGCTTTATGATTTTAAGTGCTTTGCAGCTAAAAAGATTCGTGAGCTATGGCTGCTACATGTGATTTAAAAATATTCAGAAGTGACTTGTTTCGATATAGCACGAAACATAAACATCAAATGTTGTTATATCATCATCATCATCATCATTACAGCCCTTCACAAGTCCACTGCTGAACATAAGCCTCCCCCAATGAATGCCACAAAGCTTCCATCGACTTCCTGCATTTCTTACCAGGTCTTCACTCCGTCTAGTGGGATGACGCCCTACATCTACCAGTACGAGGCTGCCACTCGAGAACTTTTCTTCCCCATTGGTTGTAGGTTCTTCGAGCTTCGGCCCATGTTGTTATATCATGACATCTTTTACAAACAAAATGGTAGATCATCGTCTGCGATGGAACATTTTATGTACCTATATACTAACTGCCAAATGAAAAAATAGAAGAGAAAAATTCGAAACAAGTCCAGATGAATAGTGTCAAACAAAATTAGGATGTCCTTACGATAATAGACGAGTAGTGCTGACTCTAAATAAGGCACAAAAAATTTGAGAGAGAAGAATTTATTTACGACGATTTTACTTACGACGAAACTGCATTTTGGGTTTGAAGCACTATTTACTCAAATAATTAAGTATCCGATATCGGACTCGATATTTAACAGTATTCGATCGGATATCTGATACTAATAAAATTGCCCGAATGAGCCTGATACCGTAATAAGGATATCTGGTACATCTCTAATATAATTTTTTTTTAAATCATGTACATATTATCCAATTTTCTAATAATTTACTTTAAATATGCATTTGTCTTGTCAGCGACCATAGCTTAATCCAGTGCAGCAAAAAAAAAACTATGGACTGATATTATAGGTAACTCTCGGAGAAATCAAGATCGGATACGGAAGCGCGGGAGGAACGCGTGTAGTTTGTGGACGTGCCATAGTCGGAAGTGGCGGTGGCGAGGTCGGCCAGCACGCCGCCGCCCGTACCTTGCGTCACGCTGTCTGCCGCGGCCGTTTCACGCTCCGCCAGTTTCTGTTTCAGGACGCGTATGCGCTCCTCTTTCTGTAAAGCACTTAACTAGTGTAGTAACTTTCATTCTAAGTTTTTTTTTACCATCGATAACTTATTTAACCCCATCACCCAACTTGTGGTTATCACTTAACTTGTGGTTATGACTAAACAACAAGTTAGATGATTGCGTTAAATAATAAAAGGTTATTCAGAAATGAAACTGGAAATTTAATATTTTTAGTAGTGTAAGTAAATAATTATATGTAGGTAGATATTTTGCATTTCTATAACATTTCCATGCATATTGTAACAATTTTTTATACCTGTGCTATTAACTTTTGCAGCTCTTCATTTTCTTTAACAAGTTCCCGGTATCGCTCTTCATCAGCTGGTGACGATCCAGACCCAGAACCACGTCCACTCTCAATACGTTCCGTTGGATGTCGAATAACTTCTATTACCTAAAAAAATAAAAAATAAAAATTTTCTTCCTATAAATTAACTTTTGGAATTAATGAGTCATTAACTTATTATTATTCAAAAAGAGAAAAACTATAAAATATATGATCATTTTATTTTAGCAATAAAATTAAGCAGTTTTACAATGATACATAAACGTACAAATATTTTAACTTTATTGAAATTTGTCGAAAATCAAAGTTTTAAAAATATAAAGCCACATAATGCTTGATAATGTTACCTCATAATAATGTACGTACTTTAGGGATAAATATCAGGGCCATGCTAAGAAAGCAGCAGAAAACAATTGCAAGTGATACGAAGGCAAACGCAGCGTCTTGCTGGCTGGCTATCACCAACGTAACTGGAGCTGTTATCAAGCATAGTACCACCACGTTGTAAATGCTCATGCCCACGTAGCGTGAATCATTTATTTGACGAATCTTCACAGAACGGGTCTCATACGCGAGAAATAATCCAAATACCAGTACTAAGCCCTTGTAGCCATACATGACACCTAAAACCAAGATATTTTAATAATATAATTTTTTTTCCAGAAAATACTAATTTTAAATAAATTAAAAATAACTGCTTTATTAAAACAGCATTAAAAATGCTTCTATTTACATTAGGTATACAAATTTACAAAAATAAAACCTACTAATTAAAATTTATATAGATTCATTTATTTATTTAAAGTAAAATTTTATTTATTTTCTACAGGTGGCAAAGCTATTTTAATATCAACTTATAATATTAATATATAATAACACTTATACATACCTAACCATATAGTGTTGTGTTCGCTTTCGCAATGCTCTAATTCAGGCCTTATGTGAACATCATCGTCATGGTGCCTAGGTGTTTCTAATGGGAAGATTTCAACACGTCTTTGTAGTGGGTCACGAAGCTGCCAAGCCGTGAGTAACGCAACATCCACGACCAATAATGCGCCTACCATCGTGTACAGCTTCCAACCATGTTTGCGTTTCTACAAAAATGATAACAAATTAATCTATGACAAAATCAGTAAAAAAAAATAATCTCAACAAAGTGTTTACAATTATAAAAAAAGTGTTCCGAATGATATCTAATAACATAATCTCTCACGCCTGTCACTTAGTGTTAGGCAGAGACTACGGACTTCCATTTTACACGATACTGACAGACTTCCTTCGCTTCTTTCATATCGCCAATTGGGGTGATCAGCTCTGACTCTTGCTGATAGAAACTTTTGCAGCAAAAATTTGCTTAGTCACTCTTTTCTCATTCATTTTGTCGAACGTGTTTAAGTAACCGAAGAATGCCTTCCACAAAATCCTGGTCACGGCATTTTCATATAAACCATGCTTCTCTTATCACATAATTTCTCACCATCATTCAAGTGGTAGAGCCACGCGGCAGCTTTTGCTGTCGCACGGATGGGCCGGCTCGAACCGGGGTGGTACCACGACCTCACAGAAAACCAGCGTGAAGTAGAGATTTACCTCTACGTTTCGCTTGGTGAGTGCAGGTGGCCGGAGACCCTTTTTACTGGAAATGAGGCATTCCATCTTAGTCCTCACGGGTGACAACGCATCTACATTTTGATTTGTAATAGAGGATAGATGTAGATGTCTATGGGCCGCAAGAACCACTTACCATCAGGTGGACTGTGTGCTCGTTTGTCACCCCTATCCTATAAAAAAAAGAAAGTGACCATCATTATTCTCAATGACTGCATTTCTATCGAATTAATTCTACTCTTATTCTTCTTTAGCCACACCCAACTTTTACTACCATACATGAAGGGATTAACACGGCATTGGGAATCCCCATACATGCCTTTGTTGACACATTCTGACTAATGGTGTGAAGAGTTCCATTTATTGTATCTAGGACTTACTCTTCGTTTTAAGACCTTGTTGTGTCTTCTATTCCTGCTCGAACACATACTAAATACGAGTACACAAACTCGACTTGCTCAACCAACTCCCCTTTTATCTTTCAAAAACTATGACTTTCGTCCTACTTGCGTTCACTTTCATTCAACTTTTTAAAACCATTATCTATAAACAAATTGAACAGCCACGGGAAAGCTGTACAACCCTGCCTGATACCAATTATAATTCCATACCAGTCCGTGTAACACAAACAATATTGTCTCTATACTTTTTGAGAGACTTTAATACCCATATCAACCCAGCACTCAACCCAAAGAGGACAGGGTAAAGTAACCCTATCACATTTACCGCATAGTGTATGTCAGTCCCATCATACCCTAACATACATCACTAACTCATATAACGTTAATAATTATTATACTAGGTGGGCCATGGATTCTAACAGAACTTTCGCATCGTCACCATTTGGTTGGGATAAAATATTTACATCAGTTCTGTTCAAATTCAAGACCCTTATCAAATTACACCAACAGACTCAAATCGAACACTTTCCATCAATAAATTGTGTAGGTCTTCTATAATTCCTGTCTTCACAATTGGGTGAAGTTGTTTTGCTCATCAAGAATACAAATTTCTCACATGGAACGTGTCCAGATCTGAGTGAGCAGTAGTAACTAATTTTCTACTAATTACAAGCTTTAGTCGCTAGTACGTCTAGCAATGCCCTTCTTTCAACTTCCATTTGTCCCACATTAGCCCACCATAATGTTTTATTATTCTAGTTATTTTCTATTTTTTCAGCACCCCTTTCTTCGATTGCTGCATTCTCTTTTTAATTTATCCCCACAATCTCCAAGTACAAATCTTTCACATACACAATTCATCCAAATCTATTTTTTCTCTCAACTTCATTGATACTTCTCTTTGCTACCTTCAGCTTGTAATGTCTCTATTCTTATACGCTGTAACGAAGCAGAAGCCACATATATCTGACGCCGCCAGTAACTGAATAGACTATTTATCCTCTGAATAGGCAATGTATACATATGTGTTTTTTCACGAAGGAAAGTATTCGTCACAAGAAGACTTATTTCCAAACAAGTGTTTGTGAGTAGGTTTCCACCATTATTATTTACAAATTCATCACCAAACGTTTCCAATACCCTTCCATAACAATTTCCTAGCGTAATAATGTTTTTATTCTCCTTCTATTTCATTAAAACCTTCCCTACCATCCCTTAAAACTCTTCAAAAATATAAGTAGGCTTTGATAAGTCCATTTTCATTTCTATCCACAGCAGCCTCGGGCTTATACATTCGGTATATAACATGCTATATGCAATGTCACCCTTTCTCTTTCGTTTCGTATCTTTTACGCATAACATAAATCTATTTCTCTATCATAAATCATCTTGTATACTTCATCCATATTATCATTAATCACTCCACACACATTCAGCGTCACCAATTGAGCTTCCGCAATCCACTTCTCACACCTGTGGGAGACAGAACGTGACGGGTAGCGGGCCACGTCGCCATCTTCCGAATGAATATTTAAGTATGTTTTCGCTACTGTCAAACTTTGCTAGGTATAAGAAATTTATGACTTTCGTGAAGTTTGCAACAAAATATAAAGATTGCCACTTGGGATTTCAACGAGACTGGAATAGAGTATAATTCGTCTTTAATACACATTTATTTCTTTTACTGATATCGTTGTGTCAATATATTACAACTTAATTACCTACATTCATTTAATTGGCTTAAGCATTTACGATTGATATTTTTATTATACAGTACCTGCGTCTCCGCTTTAGGTTTGGTCGTATGTCTATGTACACGCCACACTTTAGTGAACATCGCACCATAGGCCATTGAAAAACCTATAGCAAGAAGCCACGCCCGAGTGGCGCAAAGTCCTGTGTAGTGTTGCGGTGTTACCCATCTGCCATCAATACCGAGGGCGACTGCTGCACCCAAGCAAACACAGCAACCGCATAACATTACTGTGTTACACGCTGGATGAGACCACTGTATTACTCTGTAGAAACAATAAATACCAAAAATGCTTACTATTGAGTGTCTGATGAAGGAACTAAAATATTAAAATAGTTTTAAAATATATACATGCGGGTATTGAATAAAACTAATTTCACACATCCAGTGTGATCAATTTTAAATCTATTAATCTTCTTATTTATCAAGTCAGAATTTTTTTAATATGTCTTTATATAGAAAAGTCTTGTTTTCTTTTTAAGAACAAAGCTACGAATACACTCCACAGTATTAGTTAATCTTTTGGTCTATACCTTCTATGCCGATGCATTATATTGAAGACTATCAAGCCGATGGCAGCTAGGATGCCGGCAATACACAGAGCAGTCATACAGGCGAACAAGGGTAGGGAGACAGTACGTAATTCATTTACTACCACTGTGCGATCCGGAGGTACTTTTCCACCTTTAAAAACAAAACGTTATTAATAAAATACCAGTTTTTATGTTTTATTTATATCAATTTTTACAACATCATCACAGTGTGGTTTTGTTTATGTTTTATTAATTGTAAAATATGTTTTCTCTTTCGTCTGTCAAATAAAAAAAATTACGTACCGACCCATTGTTCTCGATCTAACCAAGTAAGATTATCAGCCTGTGTGTCGTAATATCCAAGCTTTACGTAATGATTATTCGACAATTGTTCTATTTGGGTAAGTGCTATTCTGTCCCCTTGTGAGGAAAAAGCTACCAAACCCTGAAACACAAAAGGATATGTTAATGTCAACAATATAAACAAGTTTCCTATACTTGATTAATTTGTTCTTTTGTAGATATGTCTAAACCAAAAGAAACATACCGAAACTCCCAAAAATGAGGTCGAATTTATGGCCTCATAAATATCATCCGCAATCTTCTTATTTGTGTACGTAAAATTCTTAAGACTCAATCCGCTTTTCTCCAACTTTTCCATAGTCTTGTTAAAAGCTAAAATATTTATATTGTTACATAATAAGTAATAATTCATTTGATTTTTTAATAATAATAATAATAGAATTTTACCTAATGCAACGGCCCACACGGCGTCGTAAGCCAAAGGTGCTTCTTGGTAGCCTTCTGGAAATCGTTCCCCGTCAATATCATACCCTGCCTCTTTGAGTGCATCATTTAATCGTGACCTGTCGCAAAAATTACAGTTGATTATATTTGTACGATTGTCTCACGTACAGTTTCCGAATTTCAGGAAATGTGAAGGGAATAACCAATACTGTACGTGATAGAGTCATGCTGCAACTATTAGTAGTTTAATTGTAGCACGAATGGGTCGGACCGACCTCGTTCCCATAGAATACCAGCGTAAAATTGCAGCTTAACTCTGCTGTGCTCCGTATAGTGAGTGTAGAGAATCGGAGACCCTTTTTACTGTAAAAGAGGCATTTCAGCTTAGTCCTCACGGGTGAAAACGTATCTGCATTTTGATTCTTTATTGAGGATAAATGTAGATGTCTATGGATCACAGCAACCACTTACCATCAGGTGGATGACTGTGTGCTGCTTTGTCACCCTATCCTATAAAAAAAACTATCCTAATTTTGTTACGTTTGTTTTGTATAAATTTGGAAAAATAATTACCTAAAATCTTCAGAAGTCATTCCTGAGATTGTGGTTTGATTGGCATTTTGATTCCACATAAGGGCCTCAGTAGTAAGATGCCCCTCAGCAGCTTTTCTCATTTGTTCCACAGTACAGTCAATACCCTCGCGTTCTAAATTTGTTTCAAACCAATTGTCTTCGTACCACCCTAAGTGACAATTAATTGAAATATGTTTATTTGCCTGTTGCACATTTTAACAGTAAAAACTTACTTTATTAATTTAGACGTTTATTATATAAAGATAAAGCAACAGTAACTAATGTAAATAAGCAGCTTGTTACACAAATTACTAAGAGCAACGTAATTTGATAGTAAGTCAGGGTATAGTATTAAGATGAAAATTGAATTTACGTTTGGCTTAAAGTTTGCTCGCCAAGCTAGTTATCATAGCCTGGTAGGAACGAAGTCGAATTAAAACATCAACTATGCCACTGCACGGATATTTTCTTTGAGAACACACATTTTCTTATTTTATTTTATTTGAATTATTTACCCGTTCTTCTTAATAATAATTTTTAATTAAGGAAATTTTAGGAACATTTTTTTGCCCTCCTTGGAGAAAAATTCATTTCAATTCTCAAATATACCAGCTCCGTTATCTAGGCGGACACCATCAACGTTTTTTGTTCTACTACAAAGTAAAGTAATACCCTACATACGTTCCATTAATAGGCACTAACTTCAGTGAGGTTTAATGGTGGAGAAGAAACCATGGCGATGCCCTAATGCTTGTTGGCGAACTCCAAATTTCCCCAAATTATTTAAGTTTTCCAGGTTTCTTTAGGTATTTACTTTTACCATCGAGCACTGTCGCAATGTTTAATGCAGTCCTAAACAATTTCAGGGGTGATGGCGAGGTTTGGACTCGTGTTGCACGTGTACATGAAATATAAGATATGCATCCAGTTTCTGAACTACTACGGGTCCTGCTACCCTCAGACTATAGTAAGAATACTGTTTTTATACAATTTCTTGGATTACATCCCTTAAATAACGCAAATATTGCTTGCTATAAGTTAAAAATACTATTAAACTATATTTACAACTGTAAACGTAATGAAGTACCTTGTTTTCGCAAACATCAGCTAACTATCTCGTTAGATGTAATGAAATGATAGCCTTATTAAATTATTTTACGCTAAAGGTGTAGCTACACAGCAGTTACGACAATATCACAACTTGGGAAAATTAAATTAAATTTCTGGAGTTCCATTTATTGTTTGACGTTTTATTTTTATTTTTTTGTGTGTTTAGAAATAAATTCCCACTGTAGGAGATTTTTATCTGTCGCGGAAACGTTTTTCAGTTAAGAATTACAAACAGACTAGCACTCAGATCCGAAGCAATTACGCTTCAGCGCAATGTTTGACCGCTTCGCTACCGTAGTTGTCAAAAATAAAAGCTAACCTGAACAGGATTAAAATGTACCTGTATTAATAATGGTTCAATTCCAGTTTCAGTGCCATGATCACCAATTCATCTACAAAGCATGATTCCTACCACGGGTAGGCTTATATAATATACAGTAAACTTAACGTGTAACTAGCATGCCTTTTTTTTCAGACAACTTCGCGGGCGCGCGCACTATGACGCACTGAAACTTGGTTCAACATAATCGGTTAAATGATGTAGGAACGTAATTATATAAACTGAACGAAAAAAATTCGTATATTAATTCCTATATTTTAGATATGTTATGGGCTGTAGGAAGGCAAGTGGCCAGCACTTAACACCAAGACTGTTAGCTCGTTTGTAACTTTAATTAAAAAAATAACTATGGCTAACTAGAAAACTTATGGCAATTTGCTTAAATTATGAATTTACTAGATTACTTACCAATAAAAAACCAAACATGAGATTTCCCATAGAGTTGATGTTTGTACACTTCGCATAATACACGACGAGCAGCTACCACGTAAAAGAGACCAACTATGACACGGGCATCCTGTCTGCGAAGGTTACGTACTGCATCATTCGGATCAGAGAGAAAGGACTGCCTGGTCACAATCTCTATGCCTGACTTCTTACAATGCGCTTCCAAGTCTTCGACGGTCTAAAATTGCGAATGAATTCAAATTATATAACGACAGAACAATATGATCCTTCATTTTAATATAATTCTAAGAGCGTTCATTGTCTTCGATAAGCCAGTCATAAAAAGTTCCAAAAATAAATAAAAAATGTTTATTGAAGTAATACTTCTTTTGGGGCATTTGGGAAAAATGATGAGAGTGAAGTTTTACGATGCACGCCCAGAACGACCCCTAAAAACGACACCATGAAGTTGTTACGATGCGCGCGCACACTGACACCTAAAAGCGACAACTTCAGTGGGTCTCTCAAGTTTTTTTTTTGTTTTGTTACACTAAAGAAGTATAAATTCCTACGTGCGTACATAAGTACACACACACACTTTCTTTTTGTGATCGTAAGTGTGGATATTTTCTATAATATAAAAAGAGAGTGAAAGTGGGACTAGTGTAGCAGTTCTATCTGGTTCACTATCATGGACAGCAAAACGCGCTTCCTAGCCTATGAGGAGCGTTGCAATTTCCGTTTGTACTTTTGTGACCTTTCACTTTTGTTTTGAGTTAGGTCCCCATCCCATAAATAAGTTAAAAAAATTCGCTTTTAAGGTGTGTTTAATAAAAACGAATGAGTTCTGTAAATTATGTTTTATGTGTATCCCGGTAAGATTACTTAACTAATAGAAAATTCATGAAAGTAATGAATGAAGAAATAAATGAAGATTGTTAATAATTAACGTTGTTTTTAACTTTGATTATTTACAACCTTCATTTAAAGACAATTTCTAGAACGAGACTTCTTAATTAAAACATTATCGCTAATGGATGTTTAATATTTAATGCTTTAAAAGTTAATTATTACTATAATTACTAATATATTTTCTGTCAGGTTACAAATCCAGCTAAAATACCACAAAAGTAATTTTCTACTTATCCATAGTTAGAAAAGCTTAGACATAATTTAAAAAAAAGGAACTACGACAAAATAAACGGTTAGAAAAAAGAAGTTGTGATGTGTGACACTTCTTTTTGATTTAGAGACTGAGACCAACAAATAAAGATATACAGAGCGTCGCATACATTTTCAGTGACGCAAAAACCAAGCCAAAACCAGGGTCAACTTATTGTAAGAACACGTATTCATGCATTTACGCTCACATAAGCATATAAAGTCATTTGTAACCAACAAGAGGGATTAAGTTCATATGTGTGCGACCTGGAGTTGACTTTTACTGGCTTGTGCGTGAGTTCGTATCAAAAAGTTATGTATTATTTTGGCATCACTTGAAATGTACGAAGCGCTCTGTCTTCAAGTTATTCATCAAGTAAATTACAACCCAAATAAAAGTGAAATATTTATACAATTTATTCATAAAACGGTAATTTTAAATTTGTTCATATTGTGTTATTCTACAACTAACTTTTATTTGAGTATTGTAAAATCGGACTTCTAAGTTTTTTTTAATTATGTAATTTAGGTATGATGTAACAAAAAATAATTAAATATGTGTTTAAATAATTAACATTTAAAAACCAGCCTGTAAAACAATGGACTGAGATATTTTTGTTTTGTAAAAATATAAGATGGATATAAACGAGTATAATAAAATGAAAGAAGTACTCACTGATATAAAGACTTCTTCTGCTTGTTGTAAAATGGCGATACGGGACCAGCCAAATTTTTGCATTAATTTGATTCTTGTGGGGTTATGTACTGTAGCAGACGGATGAGTACGAAATAAGGTTGGAAAACGCGCACGGTCCGATAGAGCTGGCGACGATGCTCCATAACATAGCTGTACAAGTTAAACAGTATTATTTCACAAAGGAATTTTCAATATTAGAAACCATGTTACACGCTTCTAGACAGAGACTATTACTAAACTAATATTGCCAATTGCATATAAATGAGTTGAGCTTGGTAGGGAAAGGTCGATTCAGTCCACATGTGTGAAATTTTCTGTGCAAATACAATTTAAATAATGTTTAGCTTTATATGCATTTTTAACAGTGGTAGAGCCACGCGGCAGCTTTTGCTGTCGCACGGATGGGCCGGCTCGAACCGAGGTAGTACCACGACCTCACAGAATACCAGCGTGAAGTAGAGGTTTACCTCTGCGTTTCGCTTGGTGAGTGCAGGTGGGCGGAGGCCCTTTTTACTGGAAATGAGGCATTCCATCTTAGTCCTCACGGGTGGCGACGCATCTGCATTTTGATTTGTAATAGAGGATAGATGTAGATGTCTATGGGCCACAGCAATCACTTACCATCAGGTGGAGTGTGTACTCGTTTGTCACCCTTATCCTATAAAAAAAATGTCGAATATCTGTTTTGTCAAGCGATGACAAATAAGGAAATGCTAAATTTCCCCCTTTATAACACAACATGTGGAGGCGGCATATGTTCAACAGTGAACCTTTTGATAAGCTGTAATAAATGAATGAATAACATTCTGTTGTCTACCTCTGCTACTCGAACTGTGTATGTGGGGAAGTGGCCATAGAAGACAATTCTTTTTCATCTAGATGAGCGGTGAACGGCTACGTACTCGTATATTGAAAATAATACGAAGAGCAGAATGATTAAACCAAATATTGTTTTCCTCATTACTACATGACTAGAAAGCTACGTAAGGGTGATTTAGCTACGGAAGGGACGGATAACCTACTCCCTCACTCCCCCTATCAATTGATCCAATTTTATGGTCATAAATTTTTTAGTGAGTTTAGAAATTTTAATCAGAATAGATTTGGTAGATAAATTTGTGAAACTCTGTGTGAAAAGGGGTGAAGTCGCTAATTACGAGGATGGAAATTTATATTGCCAATCAACGGAAGGACCCTTTTCAATGGCCTTTCATATATATATATATATATATATATATATATATATATATATATATATATATAATTAATGATATATTTATATAAGTAATGATATATATATATATATATATAATTAATGATATATATATCATTAATTTATTTATACATTATAGCTTCATTCTAAAGTCCATTGCAGAACATAGGCCTCTCCCATAGATTGTCACGGCGATTGCTATGTTCAGCAGTGGACTTGTGAAGGTCTGTAATAATAATGATGATATATATCATATATATATATATATATATATATATATATATATATATATATATATATATATATATATATATATATATATATATATATATGTGTGTGTGTGTGTGTGTGTGACACCAAACAGAAGTGCGTGTGAAATTTTAGTCTCACCGGTGACAACATATCTGTAGCCTTCTTTGGTTGGTGATATGTGGGTTGCGGTAGAAACTTGCCATCGGGTGGACTGTGGGCTCGTTTGTCACTTTAGTTTTATAAAAAATATTTTTTAAATTAGTAAGAATAACTCAAAAAATATTGGCCAAATCTTGATCAAATTTATATGGGACCACGTGTGAAGTACCAGCTTTCAAATAAAAAAAGAATCATCAAAATCGGTTCATCCAGTAAAAAGTTATGAGGTAACACACATAAAAAAACATACAGTCGAATTGAGTCCCGGCTCATTTTTGAAGTCGGTAGAAAATACTACGTTAAAAGTTTTCAAGGCCTATATAGCTGTTGAGCACGGGGCTCATTTGTAAAAGGGTTATGGAGCATATATATTTTTATTTAACTTGCATACTTACGACCATAAGATTCCACATTTTAGCAGCTTCAGCAACTGTGGTGCAAACGGTTGAACATCCAGCCAAAAGCAATAACTTTTGAGGCGGATTGTACAACAAATTGTACATGACGCTTGCTCCTAGACCAGGTTCACACTGATGACAAAAAAATATAATGGATTTATTTCATAAACGCCAAATTAAACTTTTTTAACGATATTTAGTTAATAACGAGAGATGACTAAAGGTTTTTCATCTCTATATAACTACCGGATTTCATTCGATCACAGTATTCTATGCAACAAATCAAAGCTGTCGCCGCATTTGTCAATCGCGTGACCGAAGTTACAGGGTTGCGGATCCTGAGTTTAAAACTCATCCATCCTCACATCCATCAAGTTGTATAAAATGTCGCGTTTATGGATCAGGTTGTGACTTTTATTTTTAAAAAAAAGTTAGGCCCGCAGTGCCGTGTTGTGTTGTAATTGTTCCCATGTTTATGAAATGACTCCCCGCCTGTCTTCGATCTTATCTCACAAACATAACATCGGGCACGATTAGGTTACGACGAGTGAGTGCGTTTGTATTTGCGCGTACTCTTTTGCCATTAGATGTCCTGCACATTTATTAACTATTATTTGGAAATTGCCACATTGATCGAAATAATCAGGCGAACATCAGCATCGCTATCGTTATTATCATCATTCACATATACTCGCACATTATCATCATCGTCACCATCAGCATCAGCCTGTGTCCACTGCTTGACGTTGGCTTCTCTCTTTGTAGGCCCGCTCACTAGTGTGGTGGTGGCGAAAGAGTATCCATCAGTCCATTTTGTGACTATCTATAGATAACGGCAAAACCATTTCGTTTGCTCCAAGCATATTACCCAGACCGGCGACGGAGAGCAGCGTCGAAGATGCGGGTATCAAGTACTAGGGTCATCAAGCCGTCTGCCAAGTGTCAATAGTTGTCCAAAGTAAATAAAATTAATAGAAATATATCTTTTTTAATTACCCCAAAGACTCCACTACGTATTAGAACTAGATTATTATTTATTATTTTTAATGTAGTAGATTGATATCTCACATATTATACGTTATCAAATTTATCGCATTTGAGAAATTTTTTAGTCCTTATATATATATTAAAACTTGTGCAAGCTTGTATATGTTATGTGAGTGCTTTCTATTAGATTATTTAAGACAGAAACTTTATATTACATTTTAAATACCATTTCACTGAAAGGCAAAATAAATAATTCAAGAACTAAAAATACGAAAAAGAAATATTTAGACTAAATTACTTTGTATAAAAAATATTTTATCGTAGGTAAAAATCTGATAAACGTTTTGTTTATTTAATATTATCCTCCTGTGTCAACCCAACCAAAACAGGTAATAATTTTAAACGCTACTTAAAAACGTTGCTGCTGGTCGTTTTCTTACTCATGTGGTACTGCTTTGCCAACTGTCATGCAGAGCGTAGTTATTGCGGCAAATACACAACAATTAATACAAGGTTAGGGAAAGAAGTTAGAACTAAATTTAAGCGCAGAACATACCTTGCTATCATTGCTATGCAGTAACAACTTGAATCCAGATAGTAGATCGGACCTTTCATTGACGTCAGCTAACGCCAACTCAGCTGCAGGCTTACATGCCTGACCTCCTTGCCATCCTCCTTCACCTTCCATCGGAAATATACCACCGATATGCAAATCGTTATCTGGCCTTCCTTCGCTATATCGACTTAACCCACCCATATACAACAAGAGCAGCATTCGTGCCTGCTTAACTCCACTCCTTCTTCTTCCAAAAATCCACTTAATACCCTTCATATTAACAATACACTTGGCAACAACGAATAATTGCATTAAAGCGTTAACTAACGTCGTTTTAAAATCGCAATACACTGTACTAGTTCGTAAACTAAGGAAACTATTCACAGTTGTTTTTAATTTGACTAGAGGACGCTTTGAAATATTAGTAAAGTTCACGCGTATTCTTGGAAAAGCCGCATTGACATTTCGATACATATGTGATATCACCCGCAGAAATTGTAGACATAGCCTAATAAGAGTTAAATTCTCTGTGTGATGAGGCTGCGAGGGCAGTTTCGAGGGCGCGTCACGGCGCATCTCCGCCGCGCGACCCCCGGTGTCGTGGCGGGTCATCGCTCGCGGCGGGAATACTCTGTCATTGTTCACCTCTCTCATTTTCCATTCTTCGTCCTGTAACAAGATATTTCATCGTATTATTTGATGTGACGATGCTTCGATCATGGTGTAACACTGCTTACTTCGCATTGACGTTTTTATATAAATCAAATTTCTATAGTTTTTGATATATATGTAGGCAATCTGTAATTAATATACTAAATTGATATTATTTATATTTAAAATACTCAAAAAGTCACTGGCGAATACATATCCCGCGTACTTTAAACCACGGAATTTAAAGTTAATCATCGCAACGCATATTTTCAATAGACCGTCCTTACCATTAAATGCTACACATTATAATATTGACTTGCCACGTGGCTTACGAGAACCGAAGGCTTTAGAAGGTACCCTAAGGAATTATCAAGAAGATCTTGTGGCTTTCGATAGATGGCGGTATAACCATTTCATTTACGCCAATCGTAAAATACCCTAGACCGGCGACGGATAACAGCGTCAAAGGTGCAAGACGTCTGGTACTACCAGTCGCGTACCAAGCGTAGCAATTCTCTATGCGGCGTGGAAGGCTAACAACCAGCGGGTGAACTTTTGTAGCCGCAGTATACTCTCATAGTTTAGTCAATGTCTAGACAGACGCCTGCCAAATGCGACGATTAATATAAATTTTCCCTACAACTGCAACTAAATGCAAATGTTCAGGAGTGGACTTTTTTGGGCTGATAAAGATCAAGAAGGATAGGATAGGCTATATCAAAATGCTATAGAAAGTTTTGAAATTCAAGAGCAACAATATAAGGCTACCATAAATCGGTGTCATCAGAAGATGAGAGAGCTAAGTACAGACATATCCCCAGGCAAGCGTTTTATTCATTTCGGCTGATACATGAAAAGTTTCTGACTGTGATATAAAAAGTCACATCTAGACCCTAATAACATATCTTTTTCTCATCGATACCGTCTATTCCAATTGCTATTTCTTTACTATTTAAGAAAGTATGATAACATTAACATTTATACTGACAGTATTAGAGCTAATGGTATTTTATTTTTATTGTTATTGTATCATTATTTTTACTTATATATTACTGAGTTCTATTTATTTATTACTACAATATAGGTACGATTACAACATGTGTATTCAAGCCAAGAAGGAATAGAATAGAATAGAAGGAATTTATTAAGTCAGTGCGCTTTAACATATTCGGCACTCACCATCAGGTGGCACAGTAGCCTAGCACTGGTTTGGCATAGTTAAACAAATATCTTCCATGACTCCTTATTCTAATTCGATGCATTCCTAACACACTTTATTGATTTTCTACCTGATTCCATGCATTGCAAGTTTTTTTTTTTCAGTACAATTTTCTTGTCACCGTTTCTATGTAGTTTTGAAGGTTTTTGCCCATAAGCGACCTTTTACCTTAATTTTAAAAGTAAATATTCTTTCCCTGTCCAAGTCTGGTTTCCGCCTAAGCCAGGCTGAACTAATGTCCTTAAGATAACTGAAACTCAAGGCCACTTCAAGGTTTCTCGGAGACTTGATATTGGGAATCCTTCTAGGTTATTGATTTTCGGTATCGAAATATTGTGGACAAAGTTATAATCCACGGGCCCACATATAAGGGATTTCAGTGATTAATAACAGGCTGAAAGTTTATATACAGCTTCATTTTGACGAGACACCCAACTTTTATCATTGGACCAAATTCTGATAATGGGAGGAAAAAGCGCGATAGGGAGCGAAACACGTCGATTTGATGAGTGTCCCAAATTAAATAATAACAGTTCCTAAAAATCAATACTTCGAGCAAATACGATGGAAAACTGAGAAAAACTTGTGGCATTCAATGTGAATGGTACCTTCCGAGTGACCCCCAGCTCTAACATGTCAGAATGGTGACTTCAAAAAATTTATTAATAACAAGCTGATTTTTGTTTTGGGGCTTGCAAAATATATATTTTTTTTAAAAATGCATCGGCATACAAATTTGTTGGTAATTTTTTTGAGACCTACACTCGAAACTTATCAAGCTTATGTTAATCTTTTTTTGATTAATAACCGTATACCACGAAAAATTTATGATGATTTACTTAATTCTCAATCTAAATATAATAGTTACCTACAAACAACAACATGTGCGAACGGGTTAATCCCAGTCAGCCTTTCGGGACATCTGAGGCGACTGGGACTCCGTGACAGACCGCTCCATGCTCAAATGCAGAAGGCGGTGCTCCTCGATACCGCCCGCATCGTTCGCCTGTTTCTTTCCCTTTCCCCCTAACCCTCAGCCGTTTGGTCTCCCCTGCCAAGGGCTTCCATCTGGTTGGGTTTTTATATATCTATGTACGTCTACCATGTTTATTTACAATTATATATTTATATTGCCCAACCAGATGAGAAAACTTTATAGAAACCACAAAATAATAATAAAAAGTCTTATATTTTTTTATATCAATAAAAGGATAAAACTTTTTTTCCAAAAACTGCTGAAGTCTCTCTCTACTTAAAACAAAAATGTTAAAAGGGGGCCAAGTTCGATATAACGAGGTTCGGCAACCCTGAACGTCGGCTTCCTCGATAAAACAGTTGAGGTCTACCGAACTTGGCCCCATTTTTACATTTATGTTTTAGCGGGATATGTTTATCATGCGTATGTGCTATTTTGTGTGCATAAAAAAATATTTTCCTTTGACTGTTGTGTTATTTAACTTTCAGAATTTTTTTTAAATATCATTCATCATTAACATAAACAACGTAACAAAAAATATTATCTACCTTTATGTCAACTACGTAACAACATGTTTTTAAAAGACTCTTGACAACAGTAGTCGTCAGGAGCGTATATTTTACGTAGCATACACTTGTTTCCCGACAGCTTGTAATGAGTAGTGCCTACGATACAAGGCGTCGCGTCGCTGCATCCTCTGCACTCACATTGTTCACAACATGAATATCAAATGATGTTTGCAGAGACTTACTATGTAACATGTGCAATCATCGGCCATTATGCAACTTTGATTCCATGAAACTATTCGAGCGGCATTGTTAAATATTCTAATGTTCTTCCTGACTATATTAAATATCAAAGGAGCAAGTGTGTATCAGAGCATATATAACATTTTATTGCTCTATTTTAATCTCTATTTTAATCTACAATTATTACCATTTTATACGAAATCTTTTATCTTTTTGAGCATAATTAGTTTCTAACATTGTTATAGTTTTAAATTTAATTGAATTTCCACCAAAGTTTAGCAGTATATTGCTCAGATGAGACGAGAGACGTTGACAGTTAAGTAATTAAGTAAATTTATCAAAAAAGCCCGTCCAGCAAAATTGGGTTGAAATATTTTGCTGCTAATATACATACATATTATGCTGCTATTATCACATATCTGTATAATTTGAGATGAATAATTTAATGAGATTTCTGCTATAAGAGGGCCCGTGTGTTGTTTCCCGCTGATTGTGAGAAGCGCACGGAACAACTATTTGTAAGATTGTTTTGGATCTGATATTAATCTGTATACAATTTATGTATGGAGGCCCATGTGACAGGTAAATTCCAAGTGTGGGTTTAACAATTTTTATATTAAATATAGACATTAATTAACATTTATTTTGAAACCTGTGGACTTCGTAAGTAAAACAATAAGGTTATATCGTTTAGGTAATTTTAGAGTAAAATGAAATCAGAAGTTAATCCGATTGGCACGAGTCCAAACCTATATCTACAGATGAAAATCTGTTTACTCAAGAGCAGTTGGTATAATAAGATATTTGTTGTGTAACGACGTCAGTATTTTATATGTAATGGGAAATATCTGATTAAATTCAACATTTCAACATAGCAAGGAAGTCAAAACGTAAATATATAAGGTAAGCCGTTACACGCGGCACGGCATGCTTTTTGTCCTTTTGTGTCCATAATCGTTTAATTGTTTTCTCTGGTTTCTTGTGATGTCAATTCTGTCAGCCTTTTTTACAGCTTCATAGGTGTCAGAGCTCACGGCCTATAAGACCACGAGCTAAAGAAGGGTGAATCTATTCCAAATTTATCCAAACAGTGGGTGGCGGATCCCGACTCTGACGGCTAACTCGTATCGTTCGATTTTCTGGGCGGTGAGAACCACCCAGGGACGCGGGTGTACGGTGTGTGCGAGGCGTGCCCGTCTGCGGACTCACTGCGTCCCATCCGTTTATGTCCTAACAGTGTTTGTGGCACTAGGTGATTGTGAGGTATTTGTGTATGACTGACCGGCGACATTTCGGTCATCGGAATCTAGCGGAACGGGGGGTTCGATTAGAACGTTACGGGGCCTCCCGAAGTTTTCCGTAACGTTCCGATTGATGAGAATGACATTCAAACTCCGTGCAAGCGGTGGATCGATAATGCATTTAATTTTTCATCCAACAAACTCGTCGCATAATAATCTTAAAATTGGCAAGTCATTTATTTTTTTCGAAACATTATTTTAATGATGCACTGCAAGACCACTTCAACAGCGCTTCCAATAAGAAATTCATGTTATTAATATCTATATATAAAGATTATCCCTAATTATAGGACACAAAATGAAAAACATAAATGTACCCAAATACAAGAAATTTTTCTATAACCAAGGTTTTTGCTGCTCATCACGAAGAAAAAATAGCCTTAGACATTCTTTGTTTCCACGTGTAGTGCCGGGAAAGAATACTCACTACACATGTCTTCCCATGGGTGTCGTAAGAGGCGACAGAGGAAAACAGGCAGGAGATGGACAGCAGCATCTTCCTGATAATAGAAAAACAGCAATAAAAAAACTGCGGTTGCCAACCCGCAAGCCAAGCGTGGCAACTATGGCAAATACCCCCCATGAGAGTAACGAAGAGACGGCCCCCAATCCCCGGCGGCCCCGCTATTGCTGGCTACGGTGGCGACCTTGGTAACGGCGGGGTAGGGGGTGCTAAGAATCTCCGGTGGAGGTTCGGTTGCCACCTACGATGACTCGACCTGGCAACTTATAACACACGAAGGTCCGAAGAGAGGGGGAGCACACGGTAATCCTCGAATCAGGCAACTTGTTCTATCACCGGGAGGGCGACTATCTGTCCCAAGGAGGTGTCGGATTTATCGTCCACAAGTCTCTCGTTAACAATGTTGTAAAAATTGGAAGTGTGTCGACGAGGGTTAGGGACCTTATACTCAGAATCACCAAACGGTATTCACTGAAGGTCATACAGGTTTACGCACCTACCTCGGCACATCCCGATGAGGAGGTGGAGGAAATGTATGAGGATATCTCTAGAGCCATGCATTCCTCCAAAACTCACTATACGATGTTAATGGGAGACTACAACGCAAAACTAGGCATAAGAGAGAACGGTGAGCTGAAAGTAGGCAAATTCGGAATAGGGCTAAAAAAACTAGCAAATACAGATGCGTTGTCAGCCGTGAGGACTAAGATAGAATGCCTCTTTTCCAGTAAAATGGGTCGCCGATTCTCTTCACTCACCACACGAAACACAGCAGCATTAAGCAGTATTCTGTGAGAGCGTGGTCCTTCCCTGGTCGAACCGACCCATTCGTGCTACAACTATACTATTAATATAGCTGCAGCATGGCTCTACCACGTTCATGATGGTTTTTTTTATCGGATATGGTGACAAACGAGCACACAGTCCACCTGATGGTAAGTGGTTGCTGTGGCCCATAGACATCTTCATCTATCTTCGATTATGAATCAAAATGCAGATGCGTTGTCACCCGTGAGGGCTAAGATGAAATGCCTCGTTTCCAGTAAAAAGGGTCTCCGGTTCTCTACACTCACCATACGAAACACAGCAGCGTTAAGCTCCTATTTTACGCTGGTATTCTGTGAGAGCGTGGTGCTTCTCTGGTGGAGCCGACCCATTCGTGCTACAACCATAATATAGCTTCAGTATGGCTCTACTACGTATAAGATGTCTCAGTGATCGCGAAAGTGAAAACCGGCAGCGATCACCGAATGGTGAGAGGAACACTGAACCTAATCGTTAAGTTGGAGAGGTCAGGTCTAATGAAGTCAACGCTCCGTCCCCCTCGTGCTCTAATCCAAAGTCCCGAAACATTTGAGCTCGAGCTACGAAACCGTTTACGGTGCCTAGAAGATTGCAATACAGTGAAATATATGAATGACAAGCTCGTGGAAACTGTCCATGCGGTCGGAGCTAAGTTTTGGAAGACTCGCCGCAGAAGAACACAAAAACTCTCCGATCATACTCTTAATCTCATGGCTGTTAGACGGCATATGAATCTGCAGTCTTCAGTAGATATGACACCTTACAGGCAACTGAACAGACAGATCTACAAATGCATGCGGCGGGAAGCGATTGAGCGGAACCAGGGCTCCAAAGTCTTTCCTAGAGATCTGTCTGCTAGAAAGAGCCAACCGCCGAAGCTGAAGACCCAGTGTGGCAGCGTCATTTCCGGGAAATCTGAGATTTTGAGTGAGATTGAGAGGTTCTATGGTACACATCATCGTTGGAGCCACACGCAAGTGTGAGTAACGATCCAAGAACGAGTCTTATCCGACATTTATCCGATGATATCCCGGACGTCTGTCTGAGCGAGATTAGAATGGCTCTCCAGCACCTTAAAAACGGCAAGTCCCCAGGCGAGAATGGAATTACAGCGGAGCTTCTGAAAACGGGTGGAAAACCTGTACTTGAAGTCCTTCAGAAGCTCTTTAATTCCGTCCTCCAAGGTGGCATTACATCGGAGGCGTGGAGCAGCAGTGCGGTGATTTTGTTCTTCAAGAAAGGTGACAACGCTCTTTTGAAGAACTACAGACCGATTTCCCTTCTGAGCCGCGTCTACGTGCTGTTTTCGTGAGTCATTACGAATCGTCTCGCGCGCAGACTTGACGACTTTCAGTCTCCCGAACAAGCCGGTTTCCGAAAAGGCTTTAGCACCATAAACCACATACACACCCTTCGGTAAATTGTACAGACGTCTGAGGAGTACAATTTGCCACTATGTCTGGCGTATGTGACCTGTGAGAAAGCCTTTGATTCCGTAGAAATTCGGGCGGTGCTGCAGTTCCTTCATAGGTGCCAAGTTGACTATCGGTATATCGAAGTGTTGAAGTGCTTGTACAGTAGGGCTACGATGGCTATCCGAGTACAGAACCAGAGTACGAAACCTATCCATTTGCAGAGAGGTGTAAAACAGGGTAACGTCATTTTCCCGAAAGTCTTCACCGCTGCATTGGAAGACGTTTTCAAGATTTTGGACTGGAAAGGATACGGTATCAACATCAATGGCGAGTGCATCACTCACCTTCTATTTGCCGACGATATAGTCCTTATGGCAGAATCGCTGGACGACCTAAGCCCTATGCTCAAAGACCTCAATAGTGTCTCCCAACGGATAGGTCTTAAGATGAAAATGGACAAAACAAAGATCATGTTTAATGTCCATGTCATACCTATGCCGGTAGTTGTTGGGAGCACTAAGCTCGAAGTTGTTGACGAGTATGTTTACCTGGAAAAAATTGCCCGACTAGGTAAGTCCAACTTCGACCGAGAGGTCAATCGACGGATTCAACTCGGTTGGGCAGCGTTCGGGAAATTACGGCACATCTTCTCGTCAGGTATACCACAAAACTTGAAAACGAGACTGTACAGCCAGTGCGTGTTGCCAGTGATGACATACAGAACTGAGACGTGGTCCTTTACTGCTGGCCGGTTGAAGAAGCTAAAGGTCGCTCTACGAGCTATGGAGAGGGCTATGCTCGGAGTTTCTCTGTGTGATAAACTCAGAAATGAGGACATCCGCAGTAGAACCAGAGTGACCGACATAGCCCAACGGATTAGTAAGCTGAAGTGGCAATGGGCCGGCCATATAGCTCGAAGAACCGACAACCGATGGAGAAAATAGGTTCTCGAGTGGCAGCCTCGTACGGGCAGGCGAAGTGTTGGGCGTCCCCCCACCCACTAGATGGAGTAACGACTTGGTAAGATATGCAGGAAGTCGATGGATGCAGGTGGCTCAGGGCCGTGCTTTGTGGCATTCCTTGGGGGAGGCCTATGTTCAGCAGTGGACTTGTGAAGGGCTGTAATGATGATGATGATGATGAATGAAATATTTGGAAAAGATGGTTTCTAAAAGTATGACGTCTTTACAGTATATCCTCATACAATTTCTATAGAAATGTTTGTTTTGCTAACTCTTGACAAAGTATTTCAAATTAGAGAGCTAAATACCCAATTAAAAAGTGACAGCAACAAATTAGCGCCAGTGATTTTTAGCAATGCTGCCAACTTAGTGCTTCTAATCTGCCAGACCTAGCTTCCGACAAGTGTCTCCTGATTTCAGCTTGCAAAGCAATATTGTTCTTATTTCTTATATATTTTTAAATATTGGGAGAGAAATTTTTGGATAGAGAAATGCGATATTTTATTATAATATAATAATTTTATTACTTTTCCTTTAAAGTAAGAGCAGCATTTGTGACCTTAAAGATTTTTTAGCGTCATCGTCATTCTTAGTTTCCTTTTTCTTAGTGCGTTTTTTCTTCTTCTTTCCTTTGTCAAGGACACTAATACCTTTACCACCGAACTCCGGATGCATCTTCCACGGTAAAGCCAATGTATTAAATCCATATTCACTCATGTCTCGTACATTGAAACGATTCCAGGCGAAACAGCATACTTTTAGCTTATCTTTACAGCCGGGTACCTCCGTTAGAAACCGAAATCCAGTGCAAAGTTTCCCATCAATACAAATGCCACCCAGTTGCCAGCATGGTGTTGTTGTTAAAGATCCTGAAGCCAATATATAACTATAATTAATAGAATCAGGCATTACTTTGCAGAAATCCATTATATAAAAGCTTTTAATTTTTTTTTACTTCGCAAACATCCGCGCTATAAAATAAAATGATGTGTCTTACCTAGTATGAGGGAGGGCGGGAGGTGCTCTTCATACTAGGTAAGACACATAATTTTATTTTAATATAGTTATATTATTGGATTTTTATTACCATAATTGTTATATGTGCAAGTTCAAACTAAATTATTTCCAAACTGTATTAATTTATTCATAATTTTCGCTATAAATTCGGCTATTATTCACTCAATATATATCATCAAAAGTCCACTCCTGAACATAGGACTCCCCAACTTGGAATATTTGCAGTAGTTGCCATTCAGGAATCAGGAAGATGTTGCTGCTCATGTCATGTTTCAATTTTCCTCTGTCGCCTATTACGACATACACAGAATGATATGGAGTAGTGGATTCACTTTGGCCGCTACTACACAGCAAATATAACTATTAACGTAGTAAAATAAATAGCCTTTTATATAAATAAAGGTAAGGAATGACTAAAAGATTCACCTAATATTAAGAAGTTATAGCTGTGCTAAAATCCCATCAATACTTTAAGTTAATGAATAATTAAGCGAAAATGCATGTCTACGATCCTTATTCCGTTAGTACCACACTAAAATAATTTGACTACTAAAAATTATTTGGTATGTCAGTATCTTTTAAAGTAACCTACTTCGAGTTGAAGCTAGTGACGCGAGGGCGGTGTGATAAGCAAGCAATTCCGCACGTAAATCTTCGTATTCCTCATCCGCAGACAAATCTAAATTGGCATCATCTCTTAACTTCGTTATAATATCCGTCCCAAAATCTGCGTCACTTTTAGATATTTCAACATCAGTTGCAACAAATACGCACTTTGTAAAGTATATTAACACAACAAGAATACAACATTGCAACATTTTCCGAAATACAAATCATAGTTTTAGAATTTCAAATACAGAATTGAAATCGTACAATCTTGAGTTTTATTAACATTGAACACATAAATCGCACGATAAGTCTACTCGCTTTCTTTGTTATCGAATTCCTAAGTAATAAATACCTCTTAGAAATACATGTTTTTATAATTTAAATTCAATGATTTTTGATTAGTGATAAAATGGCACTTTAATAACTCAAAAACTAAAATAGAATAAACAATAAAATAGAATAAAAAATATTTTATTTTTAATATTAATAATTTAAAAAAAATGTTTTATTTTAATAAAAATATTTAAAACTGAAAATGATAAGTAATTTATTTTTGACCCTCTCACAAATTTATTAAATTTGCCATTAAATTGAATTAGAACTTTTATTGTGTTAATATTTATTCCATATTCTTTTTGACTAATTCCTAATCGTCATTATATCTTTTGAAATTTTATTTTGTTCTGATTTAGTAAGTTAATTGTTAAAATTTAATTACTTGTTTGAACTGCTGTTTTGCTGTTAATTATACTCCATGTTGTTTTACTTTTATCAACAGCCGTTTCAATTTGTTCTTGTCTCAATGTTGTTTCTCAACGTAAAGAAAGTGTGTTTATTACATTTTGCTTATTAATCGTCAATTTAGAATTGCAAACGTAAAAAAACAAACAATCAAATGAAAAAAATTAACCAAATTAAGAAGGAAGGAAAAACTTCACAGAAAACAAACATTTTTGTATTTAAAATATAATCCTTTTTTTTTTCATAAATGCTTAGGAAACGTGGGCTATAATCGGTACTTAATGTTGCTCCCTCTAACTCTTCGAACTGCTTTCATTCTCCTTAGCATACTCCTAATCCTCTTGAGAAATTTCGTTCCATTCTTCTTGTAAAATTCTCTTGTGAGATTGCATTCAATTCTTACTGTAATGCGTTTTAAAATCACTTAAACTAGCTGGGGCAGGACTGCTTTTCTTAATTTGTCTTCCAAGCTTTATATAGGATATACGAGTACATGCTCTAAAGGGTTTATGTTGGGCGAGCACGCGCGCCACCTCATAGCATTGATTGATCAATGAGATCAACATCTCTAACTACAACTATGGCCGCAGTTTGGGAACGTGCATTATCATGCATAAAAACAAATTTATCTCCTACAAAAGGGGCATATCACATTACAATTTCTTCCAAAATCAATGACTCGGAGTTCCATACGTGTCCCCATACAAATACATCCCCATACAAAAATCAACCATTCAAAATATGCTTCTTTTCCAATATTGCACTAAGGGTACCTATCTTCCGGGCATTTCCAAACTTAAATCCTTCCATCATCTGGCTATAGGCAAAATCTGTATTCATCTGTGAATAGCACTGACTCCAAGCTTCAAGAGTTACTACGAGGCAGGCAGGCAAGTGTAAATTTATTTCGACCGATTTCAGTGTTTTTCCCACAGTTTTTGTGCTTACTGTACCCTTCGAACTTTTTGGAGCTTCGTTCTTACCTCAGAAGGTAAGGTCCGGTTTTTGAGCATGCTGATAACGATGAACCGGTCATCTCTAACCAAAGTTTTCCATTTACGTCCCTGTCCCGCCAGTCTCGTATACTATCCGAACTGCCGACATCTCTTGACAACTTGGTGCACCACAGATTTTGATACTCGTAATGTTTGGGGCCACATGTTTATAGGTGTACACAGTTTTAATTAAAGCAAATGCCCTAGCAACTCTAGTGGCATTTCTCAGTTTAGTTACAGAAACAATTCACACTTCACACGAAAAAAGTCAAAGCATAACTTTAAACAAAATCTAAATTTAAATTCAAATTCAAAAGTCAGCAAAATGTTTCACAGTATGAAAGTTTATTCTATAATAACATTTAGTAATGTATGTGGTCAGTACGCATGATTGTTTAATGTCCATGTCACACCTATGCCGGTAGTTGTAGGGGCACTAAGCTCGAAGTTGTTGACGAGTATGTTTACCTGGGACAAATAATCCGACTAGGTAAGTCGAACTTCGACCGAGAGGTCAATCGACGGATTTAACTTGGCTGGGCAGTGTTCGGGAAATTACGACACATCTTCTCGTCGGGTATACCTCAAAACCTGCAAACGAGATTGTACAACCAGTGCGTGTTGCCAGTGATGACTTATGGATCTGAAATGTGGGCTTTCACTGCTGGCCGTACGAGGGCGCTCAAGGTCGCTCAGCGAGCTATGGAGAGGGCTATGTTCGGGGCTTATCTGCATGATAAACTCAGAAATGAGGATATTCGCAGTAGAAGTAGAGTGACCGACATAGCCAAACGGATTAGTAAGCCGAAGTGGCAATGGGCCGGCCATATAGCTCGAAGAACCGACAACCGATGGGGAGAAAAGTTTCTCGAGTGGCGGCCTCGTACCGGTAGACGAAGTGTAGAGCGTCCCACCACTAGATGGTGTGACGACCTGGTAAGTCATGCAGGAAGTCGATAGATGCAGGCGGCTTAGGACTGTGCTTTTTGGCATTCCTTGGGAGAGGCCTATGTTCAGCTGTGGACTTTTGAAGGGCTGTAACGATGATAATGATGTGGTCAGTACGCACAACATTTACAACATGAGAAATCAAACTTTTGTTAGCTTTTATCTTAATTTGTCAATGAGTGTATTTTAGAATAATTTCTAACATATTGTCTAAATACCTTACCACTATTATATGACATGTTATGGTAAAGCTCATATAGCCTTTGTCTGCTTTTTTCAATTCCTAAAGCCTATTCAATGAATGACTTGCGGCAGTTCAAAGAGAATATTTTATAAGTATAAGTATTATTAAATAGATATAAAAAATCTACATTATTTTCGTACGAAAATGCTTTAACACTAAAGTTTTACTTATCAGTATCTATCTTACCATCAGGTGGAGCTAGTGCTCGTTTTTTCACCCCATTCTCTAAGAAAAAATATTATGTATTATTTAATGTTTTTGTCTTGCCGTAAAATTTGTAAAGGAGAGTATCGTTATTGACTACTGAATATTCAGAGTTATAAAAAATCACTGCAAATTATTAAAGCTTACTTCGATTTCAGTAACATGCATTATATTTATATCAATTTCAAAAATGAAACCATGAATTAAACAGTGTTTCTCTATATGCATAATATTATATTCTAAAATCAAATTCAAACTAATAATAAATTTTCTACATAGTAATGTAGTTCAAAATTTATAACTAGGTAAATTAATTGCTATTATAATGAAATTTCAGGTGTGAACAAACGAATGCAAATCACAGTCCAATTAAAGCAGACCGTAATAAATCAATCAAATGAGCGATACACAGTGAGTATAATATGCTAAATTAGATGCTACTTGATGAAAGGTATGTTGTTTTCATCGTTACAAAACTTGGCTGATTTAGTTTTTAAAGGTATTTTCGATATTATGTGATAAAAAACTGTTAATACATGGTGTTAGTAAGTGACAGAATCAGTAATGGACGAAGAAGAGAAGTGGGCGGTGCAAATTAAGAGTACCATTAACGGAATATGTATGCATAGATATATGGATGTGAAAAAAACAAGAAAGTTTGTCAGGATTATGTCAAAAGGAGGTTCGTAGTCTTTGCCTACATTTCTGGGTGACAAGCATAGGAGTATATGTATGTATGCATGTACGAGTACTAAACAAATCCTGCTTGAGTTCGATGAAGCTGTAAGAGCCGCATAGGCTAACAGCATTTACATCACAGAATGTAGAAACAAAGGCCTGCTCTCAGTTCTAAGAGGATTATGGAGCAATTAATCCGCAGCGCTGTTCTGATGCGTATGTTCGGTACTTTACAAGTATTTAAACTTTTTTCTTCTGTAGAAATTCAAACACGAAGTCAAATATTTTTGTTCAAAATTAGCTTTTACAAAGCACTTTTTGAAAGTTTAATGCTACCTACGCCATAGCGTAAACAAGTCCTTACTGCGGGCAGACCTGGTGAAAATAATTTAAAATTAAAAATTTTGTACAAATAACTTCAAAAGAATCATTGAATTCGGTTCACCCAGAAAAAGTTATGAGGTTATATTACATTAAAAAAAAACTAAAACAAAACATACATTCGAATTGAGTACCTCCTCATTTTTGAAATCGGTAGAAAAGAGTCACGAAACTCACAAGTAAAACTATACTCACAAGTAGAACTATTCTCCCAACAGTTACAATTTATCCTTATATTATACAAAATACATAAATAAAAAAATCTAAGATATATTATTACGTCACGCATTCTTATCTTTTAAATAGTAATAATAATAGACCCGACAAACTGTGTTCACAGTTTGGCAGATTGTGATTGTATGTATTATGTACATAGAACTGGAAACAAAAAAATAAATATAAAAATTACCTATTTTATACTATCCTTTCTTTATAAGAATCCTTTTCCATGCACTTTGAATTTATGCATTGGCAAATCTTGTTATAAATAGTTTTACATCTACCCAAAAATTAAATGTTTGTTTTATGGAGTCTATACTTTGGAACGGCAAGTTTAGATTTATTGCACGTGTTAAAGTTATGATAAAAGTCCGTACCCAGATCCAAAGTTATAATAATATATCGGACAGTATTCTGAAGTTGTCGTAATTGTAGAAATTTAGCGGTTCGTCATCATTGTTTATCTTGGCTGAAGTAATAAGTTATCTATATACATAAAAATAAAATTGAAGTGTCTGTAGTAGCGAAATAACTGACTTTTATTGAACTCAGGGGTTATTTATATGCCATTGAGACATAATAACAATTTGCTGCCTGTGTCTGCCTGACCGGGATAATTTTCGGAAAGGCTGAACCGATTTTCAGTGCCAAGATCGAGTGGTCTAGGCTATATTTTATCCAAAATGCTTGGGAGATTTTTCTTTGTAAAATTGCGTACCTAATTGGTAAAATAAATGGTCGTTTATGATTATCTTAAATTCAAATTATGACATAAATGACATTAATAGATAACAACTAG